GCTCCGTCTTATGGGTGTGACACCTGTGTGGAGAGCAGCTCCGTCTTCCAGAGCTGTGTGATGTGGAGTCTAAAGAATCACTGCCTAGGCTGTCTCATCTGTTAGCCATCTGAGCTGATGGATACTGTCTACCTTGCAGAACTAGGACAGGGAGTGAAGGAGAGGACAAGTAGGTGAACATGGCGGCACACACTTTTAATCCCAGCACTCAGGAAGCAGAAGCAGGCTGATCTCTGTGAGTTTGATGCCACCTTGATTTATATGTGAGTTCCAGGACAGCCAGAACTATATTTAAGACCTTATCTCAAAACAACAAAACCAAAAAGGGACAGGTACGGTCCTTTGTAGTGCATATACAACAGGAGCTCACTGCATTAGATATCATTTCCTTCAAGGAGAGCAGAGCCACAGGAACAAGAACAGCAAATGAACATGGTATCACTGCAGTCTATGACTCTGGACGTATGGTAAGAGTCTGTGTTGGATAGCCTGTGTTTGAGACGTTGATGCCTGATAAACATCTATATTTTGCTGAGCCAAGCACAGTGAGGGACACACACGACCTCATCAAATTAACACGTTCACACTCTTTCTTCTAAGCAAAAATTCAAGTATTAGGGCTTATTCCCTGGTCTGACTGTCATACAGGGTTCTAGACACACATGTATACATGACAAGTACACAGCAGAAGCCTCTGTCAGGTACTAGTCCCAGCACTTGCTATCTCTAGGGTATGAATTATATCATACAACCAGCATGTGGGGTCCCAGCCTGTCTAAGAAACAGTTCTCTTCACAGAAGCAGAGGGCATTTGTACCAGCTCTATCCTGCCTTTCCAGCTGACTGCAAGGGACCTCTGCACTAAGAGAGGGATCAGTGGGAGAATCAAATAGCGCATGAAGATTGATGACACTGGCTTGACGACTGTACTTCTTCCCACTTCTTAAACCAGACAGGTAGACCAAATACTGAGGCACTGATTTATACACTGAATGGGCTGACATTTATTCTCCTTCACCTACACCCCTGTAATTGGGTGCTGACTCAGAGATGGCTCGGTGGTATCTGAGAAACTAAAGAAATGCAGCAGCCACAAGCACATGCTCTAGAGCAGGAGCTGCTTCCAAGGCACCCTGACAGAGATCCTCTCACCCCACAGAGCCATGGGCCCAGAAGAAGTCACCAAGACTGGGTCTGTATGCAAGGTTTCACTGGAGCATGCATGCACTGCCATGCCTCTGTCCTTCTACTAACTCAGTTATTGCTGCAGTACTGGGGATGGACTCTAGGTTTCTCTGTGTGACAGGCAGGCAAGCACTTACCTTGGGCCACAGCTGCTTTGTGCTGTGACAGGAGAGTGAGGTGGGTTACACTGAGCTAATCTGGGGTGCAGGTTAAACATACTCACTGCCTGGCCTTTTATAGGGGTTTGTTAACCACTATGCTGCAGTAAGAGAAAGGACTGGGCTATAGGTTCTTCCTGTTTCTGTTCCCACATATGACAGGATAAAGCATGTGAATTCTGGCTAAAATAAGGACAGAGCTGGGGCAGCAAACCTACCCTGGCCATAGGGGCTCAATAATAACATTCCTCGAATGGACCAACAGCTCTGTGGCCCTGGTTCTCCGGGGTTCTGTGAGTCCTTCCCTTTCTTGACCATGGAGGGTTTAAGACCCAGTGAGGCTCTCATAAGCTGGTAGGACCACAGCTCTATCATCCCTCAACTCCAGTGTTTTGAGAATTGTGATCATGGAACTGTCAGCCGCACCCTTCTCCTAGTAATCTATTTTCCTAGTGCTTCTCTCTGCTCCCTTCGTTGGTGGCTCACATAGTTCAGGATGCTCTAGCAATATACCTCCTGTCACACATGGAAGGAACAGGCTTAAAGGGGGCATGCACAAGCTGTGGTCTGATCAGTGACCCTGGTGTCTGACTCTGACAGGCTTGAATGCTGATCACAGGACAGAGGCAAGGATTCTGCATTCTTCACTACTCTCTCATCACCTTACCTCGCTCTGACTGAATCCCAGTCCAACACTAATTTAGCAAGCTGCTTCCTCTGCTTTTGGATGTTGGGAATCTCCACCTGGAAGGTAAAACAGACCACAAAAATAAACCTGGACATTTTAGCTGAATTCTTCAAAGAGCAATTACCTCTTTACAAAAGTTTTCCTTTAGACACAAACTTCCTTTACTTCCCAAAATAGGTCTACATTAAAACCACTGACTAGTGTTACATAGAAACACACTAGCCATTTACTGTCTGATCTCTGCCAGGTCAGGCAGCACAGGCACCCACCTCTGCTATGCCATAGAGAGGGTCCATGATCTCCTTCTCCACAAAGACTTCGTGCTGTGAGAGTTCAAGAGCCAGCTGATTCTCAGCATCCCCACAGGTTTCCAGCATCTTCCTTTAGGGAGAAGACAACAAACAATAGCCATGCACTTGTTAAACCAAGCTGTCACGTGGCTGCATTCTGCCATGACAGGAACACAGCAGAGCACTACCCATCAAAACCTTTACAGTGTTTTGCATGTGTGCTATCACCTAAAATACAAGTCCAAATTTGGGCTTTTAAAATGAAATAGAGACAGAAAGGTGGTTCACTGAAGATACAGTTCCTGCCTAGAGTGTATGAGGACCTAGGTTCCAACCTGGGAACAGGAAGCTGAAGGGAAGGAGGGATGCACTGTCTCTGGCAATGTACTTAACGTGGGTGGAAATAAAGTGTGAACAGTGAGATCATAACTTAAACAAGAATTAGATTCTCAAGTTAGGCGAGAAGAGTGTTCTCAAAATACCCAGAAAAAACTTACCATGTGCAAAGGTCACTCACTCTTTACATGTAGTTTTGTGTCTGAGTGGGTCTAGCCTTAGAGGTGCTTCCTCCAGAGTCAACCCAGAAACTGGGTCTCCAGCTTACTACATTCCTCCATGGCACCATAAAACCAGGGCTCTGACGGCAGAGGCGGTGGCTGGCTAACACGTGCCATGGGCACTTAACGTCATACTTCCTTCTCATTAAACACACAGCTGATGCAGCCCCAAATACATGTGCAAATGTGTGACTCCATGGACTCCACTCACCCTCCTGCCCTTCTTTTCCATAGTGCCCCTCCAGTTCTCTATGGAAAGGGTGTGGTGTGGTGAGAGGTGGCTGTCCTATCAGAGCCAAGTTGAGGAGTCTGAATACGGCTCTGTGCTCTGCAGCCATGTGCTCAGGCAGCTCCCTGACCCTTTTTCCTTGCCTCAGTTATGAACACAAGCATCTGTCCTGCCTACTGCCTGGGTTGTTTTGAAGGCTAAGAGAGCTAATACTTAGAGAGTATTCAGCAATGGGCTTGGACACAGCATCACTGTTGTGATGTCAGTGAGGAAAATGACATTAGTACAATGAAGCAAAGATGGAAACCTGTGTGGGTTTCAGAGAAAAATCTTAGCGTGCGTGTGTGTGCGCGCGCACTTGTGCATACACACAGTGTATGTCTGACAAGCATTCCAATTACTCAAGATACAATCATTATACATCATATCTTAGACTCATAAATATACAATTATATATGGGTCAATTAAAATAAAAATATATTTAAAAAGAAAAGAAAGTAGGCCTAACACTTTGAAGTTAAAACAATTACCACATGAGCCACATAATTCAGGAAATGTACTCACTTGAGAATACTACCTTCCATGCTTTCGTGGCCACACTGGTAGTGAGTGACACTGAAGGACTGGCCAGTACTAACTCTGAGCCTGCACACTGACATGGGAGGTGCGCATGCTCATGACCAAGCATGGAGGAACACGGACTGACCCCTGTGCACAGCTAAGCTCCTACTAGAGAAGTTCCTCCCTAGCATCACAGCCTTGAGGTATCTCTCCTCAAGGTCTAAGCTGCTCCCCTGATGAAAGAGTCTCCACCATTGTGCTCCCAATTGCTATGGTGGCTGCCAGATACAACAGCTGCCCACCTCTCCTGGGTTCCAGGCCAAGGGATCTCCAGAAGTACCACTTACCCCAAGAGAGACTCTTCTAGCTGGGCTGAAGCCTCCTGCATGTTCTGGGCGAGAGCTGTCAGAGGAAGCTTTTTCTGGAAGGCAAAAACAAGGTGGATTCATATGTGTAGCTTCCCAGTCACTCTCACTGGTCTGCTTCAGGTCACTCTGGGTACCCTTGCCCTCCAGGCAATCTGCACCAGGAAAAGGACTGTCCCTGTGGCTTTCCTTTAACTAAATTAAATTAACTTCAGGTGCCTCTCGAATGGGGGCATGCCTAGCACATGGGGGGGTGTCCCCACACGGGGTGAGCTTACCAGGGGTCCAGAAGCTGCTACTGTTGCTGTTGCTGCTGCTGTTGTTACTAATTAATCAGGTGAACAGAGACTGAGTATGCTTTTCTGAAATCTTGGGACTAGTGTTTGGGATTTTTAGACTTTGGAACAGGAGCACTGTTTCTACTAGCTTTATATCCCTAACTTGAAAATCCAAAAGGTTTCTGAGTTCAGACCATTTTGGACTTCGGATTTTGTTTTTTTTTTTTTTGTTTTTTGTTTTTTAAAGATTTTATTTATTTTATTTTTATGTATATGATGAGTACACTGTAGCTTTCAGACGCACCAGAACAGGGCATCAGATCTCATTACAGATGGTTGTGAGCCACCATGTGGTTTCTGGGAATTGAACTCAGGACCTTTAGAAGAGCAATCAGTGCTCTTAACCACTGAGCCATCTCTCTAGCCCCATAAATGATCCACATTTTTTTTTCTTTTTTTCTTTCTTTCTTTTTTTTTGGTTTTTTTTTTGAGACAGGGTTTCTCTGTATATCTCTGGCTATCCTGGAACTCACTCTGTAGATCAGGCTGGCCTCGAACTCAGAAATCCATCTGCCTCTGCCTCCCAAGTGCTGGGATTAAAGACGTGTGTCACCACAGCACCAAATTTTGTTTTAATTTTTAATTAAAATTTAAAATTATTAAAAAAAATTCATTTACTGGGGGGGGGCTGTGCCTATACCAGTGCAAACATGGAAGTCAGAAGATAACTTGTGGGTCAGTTCTCTCCTTCTACCCTGTAGGTTTCTGGAATTCAGCTCAGGTCATCAACCACAAATGGCAAGCACCTTCACCCGCTGACTCCTCTTGCCAGCCATGTCTGTTCTTGAGACAGTCTCATGTATCCTAAGCTGGCCTTGAACTCACCATTTGTAGTCAAGGGTGACTTTATTGTTTACACATCCCAGAGTGCTAGAATTATGGGCAGGTACTGTCACAGTCTGTGTAGTGTTGGGGACTGAGACTAGGGCTTTGAGCATGCCAGGTCAATATTCTACCAGAGCTAAAGCCCTAGCCTCTGGATTCTAGAGTTTCAGATTGTTTCATGAATAGAACTTGCTCTCTAAATATCATCATAAATAACTGTAATAAAATGCTCAACTGCAAAACGTTGGCTAGAACACTCTTAAGCTGGGTCTTGATTTGGCTATAATCCTAAAATATAGTTTTAAAAAACTAAAAATATCTAAGCAAGCTTTGTGGAGTTTTAAAGCATGAAGCCAATCATTTTCCTATCAGGGATTTATTCTTAATCAAAAACAGGATTATCTAACCAGGAAACTCAGACCCAGAGGTGAAGTGGCTGGCTTGACGCCTCAAAGAGGGCAGAAGTGCAGCCTTGGTACAAATGGGCAACACTAGTCAGCACCTGTAATACCATTGGCTGGCGTTGTCTCGGAGCATATGTTGAAGAGGGCTGGAAAGTAACAGAGAGGATTCTTCTAATGACCAGGTGCTCATAACACGATGCTTTCATTCTGAAAAACCATGTCATTCTGCCTCCCAAGGGAAAAGGACACTTATGTCAGACACCACTTGACTTGTCTGCATGCACTGGCTTATGCTACTTGGAAGGACTTCTCTCCAGGAAAGTACCAATGGTGGTAGCTCTGGAGGAGGGAGGGGGTCTGGGACAAACTTCACCCATGTTCTTTTGTACATTCTGAATTTAAGTTTTCTATGAGGTTGGAGAGATGTCTCAGCAGTTAAAAGCACTTGCTACTCTTCCAGATGACCTGGGTTTCATTCCCAGCACCCAGAAGGAGACCATGGCTGGCTGCCATGCTTTCAGAACAGAAAGATCTGAGCATAACTGAAGGTAAGTCGAAGTTCAGGTGAGCCCCTTTCAAAGAGACAGAGACAGACAAGAACCTGTTTTAATGAGTACTACTCATGATCCCCCTGACTCAATAGCCTTGATCCTGTTTCCAGACGTACATAAACAAGGAAAGTCTGCTGAACAAATGAGCTTATTAACAAAGATGTATCTTTACACACTGAAACTCTACAAGGAAAGGCCTGACTCCTAGGGTAAACAGCAATTCCATCATCAGGAGGAACTGAAAAGCTCTCCACTGGTTACATATGTGTCAACTACACAGACAGGCCAGGCCTACTTTATGGGCTCTGCTATGTGCATGGAGGCTCTCAGAGCTGAGAAAGTTGCTGCTCCATCTCTCCTCCCACCCTTTCTTGCTTCTTCCCATGTGGTGGGCTATTGCTGTCCCCTTGGGAGCTCTACCTGTGTTTCCTGGAGCCTCTCTACATGTTATATGCCCTCCTGAGGACTCCTAATCTTTCTTGACACTCTCATGGCAACTCTTAGTGTCTCTTCACAGAGCCTTTTCTTTGGCACATTTGCTTGAGGTTTTAAAGGAAAACTATGTCATCAGATATTTCAGAAACTAGGATGAAGGCCGGGCGGTGGTGGCGCATGCCTTTAATCCCAGCACTTGGGAGGCAGAGACAGGCGGATTTCTGAGTTCGAGGCCAGCCTGGTCTACACAGTGAGTTCCAGGAGAGCCAGGGCTATACAGAGAAACCCTGTCTCAAAAAACAAACAAACAAACAAACAAGAAAGAAACTAAGATGAAGCCCCTTGCTCCTAATGCTGGCATGTTCCCACCACCAGCAACTCTCCTATCTACAGCTCAGGCACTGAGCCTCCAAGAAGCCCACCCGACTTTGCTCTCTGTTCTCAGCCCTCCCTCTCATAGCATCATATGTATGTTTTATTCACCATGCTGTTTTATAATTATCCATTGGTGGCATCCATCCCCCAACCGGGCCATGAGCACTCTTCTATCTTTAGCACTCAAACACAGTAAGTATTTGATAAAAATTCAGCTTGTTTTTAATGAAGAGGTATGACAGTGGAACAGTATCTCAAAGAAGACAACGGTATGACAGTGGAACAGTATCTCAAAGAAGACAACAGAAACAACAGGACAAGCTGTGTAAAGAACAGTGTTATATTTAGGGACTGCTGGGTATTATGTGTTTGGACCACAGTGGGAATGAGAGGAAGCAAGAAACAAAGAACCCTGCTGAGGCAAAAAGGGATTAGGATACAAAGAGTTTAAGTCATGCTAACGAGTTTGAGCTGTATTCCAAGGACTGACAATAGGTAGAGCCCCTTAAGAGGTCCCACTAGCTTTTTGTGCACCTCCTTGTGTCCAGCTCTGCCAACAGCACCACAGAATATACAGCATCTTCCCACATTGGCAAATGACTCTTGACAATCAGACTGAGGACTGACTAAAAAGGACGGAAACTAGAGGCAGGAAATGTGGTTCAGAAGAGAAACAGGATGACAGCCCAGACAGTTCAGGTATTTATGACAACCAGGTCTCATCTTAAGGAGAAGGTAGGGATGAGGCGTGGTGAGGAATTTTAAAGACGCCCACAATGAGAACTACAGGAGGACGGAGATAAGGGTGGAAAGTTAGCAGAGCAGAAGCCAGGCTGGGACAGGAACAGTGGAGACAGAATCAACGACATCTGTCTCTGAGGGACAGACCAAAGCAAGCATTCCTGGACACATAGGTGCATGCAAATGCCCACTAGATTTACACAACTGCAGAATCCTAACTATTATGCAATGGAGGGAAAACTTTGTGGTCAGGTGCCCTGAAATTAACTGTGGGAAACTCAAAAGGGTGACACAGTTATTTGCATACTAGCTCTTCCTTCTTCGAAGTCTGGTGATTAACAAAGCAGCAAACCCTAGCTTCATAATGTGCCACTGAACTGCCATTGTAATGTGGCTGAGACGCATCTGATACTCACATGTCTCCTTTCGGCGTCGGTGCCATGCTGACCTTGGAAGCAGGCTATCAGACGCTTATGTGAATGGTGGCACATTGACCGCACAGTGTCCAGGCGACGTTCAATCTGTCAAAGCAGAGACAGAAGAGTCATTTTCAGGGCTTAAGAAGAAATCCAGCTTCTTCCATGTGTGGTGTGTGCGTGGAGGTAGGAAGAGCAAGCTGCAGTGAAACTGCTCAGCTTTTAGGTGTGAACAGACAGTTTCTATTCACTCACACCACGGTTGGTTCTCACTGCTGACACTCGACAGTCCTGGGTTGCAGGACGTTGCCCTGTACACTGTGGTGTGTTCAGTGGCATCTCTGGCCTCTACCTACTAGATCCAAGTAGCACTCCACTCCCCAAGCTGTCATCTCCAGGAACACACACAGCTAGCCTCCTTACATGGCATAGTCCAGACCCTCCAAAGCTGAGTCTGTTCAGGCTAAGGAACAATGGTGTGTCTGTCTATGAGGCAGAGTAGTGGCAGTCAACTCGCCAGCTAGAGCACCAACAAAGCTCTGGTCCCATCAAACCAACCTCTACCTACTGCCACATGGGACAAGTCAATAGGGATACCAGAAGCACCGACAATTAGTACTTCCCCACACAGAGCAATAGACCTAAACTCCACACAGCACAACCAAAACAAGATCAGGATTAAAAACCTTCTTCCATAGTAAGTTTGGGGTAGGTTTTTGTTTCTGTTTTAATGAGGCCCCCACAGCAGAATGGATACCCAGCAGTAGGGAAAACTGGCCTAGGGACCCACACATCTTGAATAGCTTTCCAAAATAAGACTGTTGAGATATAGCTGTTTATGGCAAAGAGGGCTGCTTGTTACAGGAAGGAATGCCAAAAATGTGTGTTCTGATGACTCATGAAGAGCGAGAGCAAGCCCTCAGGGATGCTTTCTATTTTAATGAAATATCAGCAAATTCAAAGCAGAGTACATTTTGACCCTTAGTTACTTTGTGCCTGTTTCTCAACAGTACCTGGACACAGGAGCTTCTCTTCAGATCCAAACCCCAGTCATCAGGGCTATGACCTGCAGGAGCACGTGTCATAGCACCTCCCTATCGACAGTGGCCACATTGCAGAACATTAGAAAACTAGCACAGTCTCTATGTGCCATAAGAGCAAATGAATACCCAGACTCCTGGAACTTTTCATCAACACGTCAGCTCCATGAGGATAAAAGCCCTGTCTGGTCCGTTCACTGGCCCCCCAAATGCCTGGCCCAGTGTCTGTCACAGGAGCAGAAGGTCTCTACTTTTGACTATGCTGGACAAGTACCGAGTTCTCTCCTATGTCTAGTATTAGAAAAGCAACAGAGAAGACATTCTGGTCTCTGTCTGCTACAGTTGACAGCCTCCTGGTGCAACACTATGCCATTAAAATTAAATGTAGCTCTGGCAGAAAGAGATGAGAGAAGATAGTGTCACCTCAGAGACAGGCCAGCAATACAAACCTGGTGGCCTGTAGTGGAGATCAGAGCAGAATCAAACAAACCTTTCTCTCAGGCTCAACTCTCAGGACTCACTACCATTTGGTCTGTTCCCTCATTAGTCTCTCCCCATGGGGCAGACTGCCAGAAGCCTCACTTGAGTCTAGTGGAAACTGAGGCACTGGGGGATTAACTCAACCCTGGGCAACAAGGTCAGCCCTGGCAGCAGAGTCGTTGTTGTTTCCTTCAAGTTAAAAACAGTAGAAGAGAGAGAGAAAAAAACATCTGTGGCAGTTATGACAGACAGCAAAGAGAAGTCTCCATTATCAAACTAGAGTGTGTTCCAGAGCTGGTGTGTGGAGCTTTCACACTCCAGACAATATAGACAGCTCTCCTCTAACTACAAGGGTCTCATCTCAGAACATCAAGGATGGATGGCATCAAACATATGAAAATCCAACCAAAGCTAAAGTGCATAAACAGTATTCAGGAAGAAAGTGAATTTAAAATATGTGCCCCAAACTAAGAAGTGTCAAGAATGTAATTCCTTAACAAATCTTTTTTTGTTTTGTAGGCTGGCCCTGAACTTAGAATCTGCCTGCCATTTTTTTTTTAAAGCTTTAAAAAATATACTAAACTGTAGATGTGGCTCAAACTCAAAGCAGAATACAAGCTTAAGACTCCTCTTGGTTCAATCCCCAGCACCAAAACCCAAATCAACCCCCACCCCCCATATCCATGGATTTGGATACCCGTAACATTTAGCCAACCATGGACCAAGAACATTGAAAAGGAAACTTTTGTAAGAGCGCTGCACACTTTTCGTTGCTGTTCCCTACGCAACCCAGCATGAAGACTACACATATGGCACGAACACGGCATTAGGCATCGTGAATAACCGAGAGGGGAGTTAAAGTACAGGTGAGGCTGGATGAGGCTCGGTGGCAGGCAACTTTCCTACTATGTGCGAAGGCCTGGGTTTGGTTTTCAGCACCACAACAGTAAGCAAATAAATAAATATACTATCAAAAGGATGTGTGCAAGCTAAATTCCAACACTGCACTATTTGTATGAGGATATCTAAAACAAATCTGTCCATGGAAACTAAGTGACTACATCCTGCCTGCAGGTGGTTGATGCAATTCAAGATATGTGGCAGGCTGCGATGGAGGGAAACCCCTTTTCTAGCTTATGCCAGCTCCTTTCTCCATAGGAAGGAATAGACAGACTCCTAGGGCCAAACTTTTGGTCTTTAGAGCCACACTTGATTATACAGACTGCTGTATAGGTTAAGGAAGCACAAGGCAGGCAGGCAGGCCACACAGCTTAACAAAGACTCCAGGCAGCTGGGGCTTGCTCTCCCTCAGCCCTCTGCAGTGGGTGGGGATGTGAGCAGAGAGGAAGCATATAAAGGCCCCGGGGTCTTCTCCAAGACCAAAGTTGGAAACTTTTTGACAGATGGAGCCGAGTGGCCATGGCCAAAGTGTCCTGGCAGGAAAAGGAAGGACGGTCTGAGCCGAGGACACAAAGTGTCCCAGGCCTCTGGGTGGTTGCACTACATCTGCTCTGTTACTATAAGGCTAACCATCCAAAGACCCAAGCAGCCCAGAGTTGGGGAGAAACAGCATGAGCAGGAGAGACATCAGAGCTCCAGGCTAGAGCCGCTGGGGCCTCTAGGCAGTGGACAGGACCTGTCCCAGCAAGCACAGCATCACATCAGTGTATCAGAGTGCCACCCTGCCCAGGGCCTGTGACCAGGCCACAGTGCAGGGGACTGACCAGGTCTCACCCATTCCAATACCTGGCACTTGAGAGCAGGACTGGCATCATCTGTACTCCATAACATGACAGAAAGTTTCAGATCCCCTTCCTCTCACAATCCCATCCCATGCGTCTTTCCCCACACAAACCCATACAAACTCAGTTATGCTGTCCCACCCAGGAAAGAGGAAGTGAAATGCCTCACAAGCTCCAAGTCTCCTGTGTCTGCCCTTAGTGGTCTCCTGTGTTGGGGTCTGAACCCAGGGCTTATGTGTGGTAGAGGAGGTTGTTTTACCAGAGATGTGGCCAGCCCCACATTTATTATTTGTTTTCATTCTATATCTTTAAAGAGATTGTTTTAAGACAATTCGAAGCACAGATGTGTAATTCCAGCTTGGGGGAGGGGGGCGCTAAGGCAGGAGAACTGTGAGTTCAAGGCTTGGAAGGGCTACAGAGAGAGTTTGAGGACAGCCTGGGCATGCAGTAAGGCCCTGTTGTAGAGCACTCGCCCAGCATGCATGGAGCTTGGAATGAGATCCCTAGTCAGGGGGAAAATGTATTTTTTTAAAAAATTATTTATTTATTTTATGTATATATGAGTACACTGTAGCTATCTTCAGACACATCAGAAGAGGGCATCAGATCCCATTTCAGATGGTCGTGAGCCACCATGTGATTGCTGGGAATTGAACTCAGGACCTCTGGAAGAGCAGTCAGTGCTCTTAACTACTGAGCCATCTCTCCAGCCCGAAAATGTATTTTGTTACCTGTAGCAGATCTTCACTGAGGACTTCTGTCTTCTCAGCTCTATGGAAAAAAATGAAGTTCAGAATTAGAAGTGTGGGAAAAGTAATTTGTGAATCTTAAAAATGGTTAACTGGGGATTTTTAACAAAACAGACAGGAGGAAATTTACATCACAGGGCAATGTAAACAAAACCAAAGGAAAACAAACAGGCTGAACAGCAAGCAACACAAGAGCCCATGGTGTGAGACAGTGGCCCTCAGCTTGGAGCCTACTGCAGAGGTCACTTACAGTCTTTCTCCATGGTCAGCCACACAGCATTCTAGACTGACACCGTGTGTATGGAGTACAATCCTGAATTACAGAGGTCTACACAGGCCCAGGCCATGCTTTGAGAAACACCTCCTTTCTGAAGGCTTAACTTCAGATCCTAAAATAATCACAGCTAAGTTTTCACAGCCAGACCTATGGAGAAAAACTGGTCTTAATCTGTAAAACTTATGCGTCACACCACAGTATAAACATTCCTTTTTTTTTTCATTTCAAATGGAAAGAAAGGTATTTCCCAGATTTCTCTTTGCAGTGCTTAGATCAACTACTAGATTTGCTGAACTCCACAGAGAACAGGATGTGGCCAGCTATCGGAAGCAGGGCACGTCTCTGCTGCTGGAGCACAAAGATGAAGAAAACTGCCCAAAGACCCAATTGCTAAAGGGTATTTGCCACTATTAGGAAGGTAGCCCTTTAGTAGTTGAGGAAGGTAGGTCACCCAGCATGGCACACCCTTGGATAAGATTTCCTATCTTTCATGGTTTTAGACCATGAAATGACCAGGCTTGTTTGTTGTTTTCCCATGACATTCTGTGCGACCACAGGTGCAAAGTGACAGAGCCAAGCAACCGTGAACCAAAACCTCTGGAGCCAGGAGCTAAACTCTTTCTTCCTTATTTGTTTTACATGGATAGAGCATGCATGCATGTGTGTGCATGTACATATGTGTGTGCATGTACATATGTGTGTGCATGTGTGTACATGTCCAAGTGTGTGGAAGCTCATGTGTGCACAGGTACACATACATGTGTGTAGGTAGGTATACACGTGAAACCCAGAGGTTGATGCCTGGTGTCTTCCTCAGTTGCTCCCCATGTTCAACACTGAAGCAGAGACTGCCACTTTGAGCCAGAGTTTCCCAATCCAGCTAATCTAACTAGCCATCTTGTGCCGAGGATTTCATGGCAGGCTGCCACACACCACACCTGCTTTTTCACCTGAGTGCTGGGGACCTGAGCTCTGGGGACCTGAGTGCTGGGGACCTGGAGTCTGGTCCGTACAATCTCATGGCAAGCACTTTACCCACTGAGCCATCTCAGAAGCTACCCTGTCCTCAAGTGCCAAGTACTTTGTCACAAGTGGAGAGTGCTTTTCTCTGCAGTTCATAGGGCTGCTTATTGACATATAAAACCCCAAATTACTAAAGTCTCAAGTGTTATTTTAGACTTGTGGTTTAACTAGTGATTTGAGAAGCTGTTTGTGATACCTACCAAATTTCCATTAAAAATGAACAAGGAGAGTTTTAAGGAGAGAGAAAAGCTGAATAGTTTGGAGAAGCCCCAAATGAACTAGAAACCTGAGGACCTCCTGAAGACAGGATTGTACTATGTAACACTATCCGGCCTATAACTTACTATGTAGACCACGGTGGTCTCAAATTTAGAGATCCACCTGCCTCTGCCTCCCAAATACTGGAGATAAAAGGTGTGTACCACACACCTAGAAGAAATGACTTTTTAACAAACTATGGTAGACTACAGGGCTGCATAATCTTAGCCCTGAACTAATACAAGAGAAGAAAAAGCTGTTTGGTCAAAAAGTGAGGGGGACTCTTAGAATGACCTGGACACCCAACTCAGAGCAGTGCCACCTGCAGGCAAGGTAGAGAAGTGTCAGGCCCTCCAGCCTACACTTAACAGCTGTGGTATGATTATCAAAATGGTCATTACTACACAAAATGCCAGCACCATGTGTCACATAGTGCTCCTGTTAAACTGGAGATGCCTAGAGGACTGGCTCGTTTACCAGATTTTGCAGGTCAACACAGGACAGGCCTCCTCATACCAGAGGAGCAGAGGCTGGGGGAGCCAAGGCCCCAGTCAGCAGCAGTGGAGCTCTGAACTCTGAGGGAGAGCACAGCAGCAGCCCACATGTGCCCTCTTAGTCTTGCCTTGAGTATCGTGGACACTAACATGCCAACATTGGTAATCATGCCAGCCAGGGAAGTGTGGCAGGGGCTCACTGACCAGGAGATGAAACTCATACTCGAGAAGGAAGCCTGAGGTTCCCCTAGAGGGAATCAATAACATTCAGGCACCCAGATCCCTCCACGCCTCTCACTGACAGCCACGACCCTCCATCCTGGATTGTATAACCTTTTCTTTTTCCTGTCTAATCAGGGCCCAGAAATCAAATCAGTTGCAGGGCCTTGTAAGCTTCAGTCTGAACCTACTTCAACTCTGAAGCTGCTTAGTCCCAAGGCCTATTAAACATTCTCATAAATCTAAAGGAAGAGAATAAAAGTGAAGAACAGACCTGACAGCTTAAGACAGGGAAAACCGAACACATTACAAGCAGAGGGAACTTCTATAGTCTCACTGTGGGCACAAGAGGCAGCTCCAAGGGATACTTTAGCTGGTCCAGGAGAACTGATTGTGTGCCGTTTTTCCCATTTCCTGTTCACTGACCTCTTACAGATGCCTTGTGATAGAATATTAGGGCTGGATACAGCTCAGAAATAAAATATGGCATGTGCAAGGCCCTACAATCCACCCCTAGGACGAAAGAAGAAAACCAGAAAAATAAACATAATGCAACCCTCACAAACAATTCAAATTATTGCCTTTTAAGTCTTTGGTTGTTTTACATTTTTTGTTTTGTTTTGTTTTTTGAGACAAAAATCTCATGTAGCCCAGGCTGGCTTTCTTATGCAGTTAAGTTTGATGTTGAATTTCTGGTTCTTCTGCTTCCACCTCCAAAGCACTCAACTATGGAGGTATACTATCATACTGGTCTTTTTAGAATTTTGAGATCTAGGCTTAAGATTTATAAGTCTGTAAACACAGTAATATAATAGCCACAAATAAAATTAAGCAAATATAAACACAAAGCAAGTAATAACCTAAAAAAAAAAAAACAAAAAACCCCTAAAAACTAAAGGTCCACAGACAGTCATGATACATTTCTATACTGAGCTGCACATAGCTTAGATATCAAAGAGTAATACAGGCAAAAATTATATCATGACTGTATTGGAAGGATGATGGAGTAGAAGGAAGGAGAGGTTCTATAAGTCTTCTAATCAAATAACAGCTTATACATAGTGTTTATAAACATATATGTCGCTGTCAGAAAAAATAGCTATAATTCCTTACTGGCTGCTACTGGGGAACATACTATAACTACATGTACACAGCTGCCCCTCCCGCCTGTGCTTGTTTTCTGTCTCTGTGTGTGTGTGTGTGTATCTGTGTGTGCTGTGTTATGGATCAGATTCAGGGCTTTGCAATTAGACAAACAATTTATCAATAAACTGTAACCCTCATCCAAATTGTGTGTGAAGGGGGCAGAGGTAGAGGTCAGGTGTGTTCTTTGACCTCCACCTTATTTTCTGGGATGGGAGCTATCCGATTCTGCCAGACTGGCTGGCCTACAGTCCCCACCTCCACAACACTGGGTGTGAGCTACCACACTTGGGTTTTTCCATATGGGGAAATCAAACTAGAACTTCATGCTTGCACAGCAAGTGATTTAAAGACTGAGCCATCTCCACAGCTCATCGACCCAACAGTTTAAAAACAGAGTGTTACTTACATTTTACACCACGAGCCTTACACGGTTAGAATTATCTGTTACTTAAGGCAATGGGTCTAACTATTAATCTCTTCAAAAGCTAACAGAGTACCAAAATACTTAAACCCTCAAAGTACCTAAAATAAAAAGGAATTTTACAATATTAGTTTCCTTTCCCAAATTCACTTTTGCTTTAAATTAATAATTTAAATTTAATTATTTGCTTCAAATTTAGAGGTGAGACTGTGAAGATTGCTCAGAGGTTAAGAACAGAAGTCTGAGTTCAATTCCCCCCTAACCACCTAAAACTGCAGTTCCAGGGGATCCGATGCCCTCTTCTGACCTTCTCAGGTACCAGGCATGCACATGATACACAGATGTACATACATGCAAAAAACACACACATAACATAAAAATAAATTTAAAATAAATGACTAAATTAAGAGGCATCTGATCTGTAAAGGTACTGAAAGCCGAGAATACAATGACCATATTACATTCAACTGTTAACAACATACTGCTTAAAAATGAATCGGCCTGGTTTTGCCTTTGTGGATATTTTTTATTACATTCACATAATTGCTTTTAGAAAATAAATCACTATAGATCTTAATCAGATACTGGGGATCACTGAAATTATTAAAAATTATCTACAAATTAGGAAACATTGTTTTAAACTGCTAAATTTCAATTATGAAATGTAATCGGCAAATGGATAGCTCTATCTACAGAGATTCTCTGCTGGCCTGTGCTAGCTCTACCTCAGTTGAAAATTACTGCTGTCCTTACCAGCAGACATGGTCTCAGTGGCCCAGCCTGCCCTCTTCCCCGGGATGGCCCATGACTCTCTAAGTGCCATGGTTGTTCATTTGTGTATGTTGGCGACATCATCACACATGTGTATGAGATACTTAAATTTTATTTATACTACCCCAAAATATATCCTCCCACCCTCCTTCATGGCTCCTTCCTATTTCCTAGCAGTTTCCTTTCTATTTTTAGTAACTATTTTTAAGTACTCATCTTTACCAGAGGTGTAAAATTCCTAGCAGGGAAAGGCTGGCAATTTTTCAGAATACTGGCCAAGGTGCACACTCTGTAAAGAAGTGAAGCCAGTATAAAAGCTTGCTGGATTTCCTAAGTTGTATTATATTATTGACTATAGTGCTTTTCCACAAGGTGAATGTGAACTGTTAACTGACTGGTTGTCTCCATTTTTA